ATTTCTCATATTTTCTTCCTAAATAGGCTCCCCCTTTACCTCTTTTATGTTTGTTGATATTTTTCTTCCAATTGTCTTTAGCCACTTTCATTTTGTTTTACCTTGGGGTGATCTCATCTGCCTTTTCTTGAGCCACAGTGTTGTTTACATTATAAGAGGGTTCATGAACGTGCCGTTCTCCTCCAGCCACTTCTCCGATGGCTTTTTCATCTACAGTGTTGGAATCACTTGTGTCTTGGTTTTTCTCTATCATCCCAGTCCATAATGTGAGCAGGTTCTTCCAGTTCTTGTGGTATGCTGTCGGTAATATCACCCACAGCCTCCACTGATTTTTTTATCCCTGACAACTGCATCCAGCAATGAATGATAAGTATTTGATGAGGAATAACGGAGTGGTTGCTCTGCTACTGCCTTTTATCTGTTTGCCCATCGACAGCTTTGGATTCACGGCGTGACCCTGTTGCTTCTTGGTACTCAGCTATTGGTCTACACGAACATGTGTCTCCTTCAAAGTTTCTTTCCGTTTCAAAGTTTTCCTCTTCGTCTTCTTCAATAATGCGATCGGCTGATTCCCATTCAAATTGTTGTCCACAACTTGTGTCATTGCACCCTTGCTTATCCAAATCCATGTCTGTATTTTCATCTACCTCTTGTGGGATAGTACCATCTACAGTCTGCACTGGTTCTTGAACAGTAGCTGCCCCATCGAACAAGGCGAGATCATTAGATAAAGAGCCAAGGGACACGTTTGCAATCATACTCCCTTGGTTGAGGATGTTGTCTTTTACTGAAGGCCAATAACAATTCTACCTGCTTTTATTAACAGTCTGGTTTATCAATACATTATCTGCATCATTAAAGACAACACGTTCAGAGAGAATAATATCATTCAAAGTGCTGTCATCTGGTTCTGTCTCATCAGATGGGATGGGTGTTGAACTTCTAACCCTCTGCAGATGTTCTGAAGGACGAGGTGGCGTATAAGCTACTCTCGTCTTTGAAAGGCACATCATCTTCACAGCTCGACTGAGAGGATACATTTTCTGTTGGAGAAAAAAACCATAATAGGTTTACTGAACATCTATTGTAAATAGTGGTCTTTGTTAATCTGCAAAGAATAACATTATTAGAGTATTTTTGCTTCAACAAGCAGTAGTTGCGGTTGTGTAAATGATGTTAACGAGGATCATGATGTTGGACAATGATGAAACTACTACTACTACTGCTACTGCTGCTGCTGCTGCTGCTGCTGCTGCTGCTGCTGCTGCTGCTTCTACTACTACTACCATTACTACCACTACTACTACTACTACTATTACTACTACTACTACTACTTCTTTTGTGACGAATCAAAATAGCTGAAATGGATGGGGAGACTACAGTGGTAATGGTGGGATCATAGTTCTATTTACCTCAGAGTTGCAATGAATTCTGGCAACAAGCCAATGTGTGGACTCACAATGTATAGAGATCTGAGATATAATTAATGCAATACTTAACGTTAGTTTCATGGGATAAAGCTATTCTAATAGGAAGAAAGAAAGTGGAGAAGACATAAAACTTTTTCGGAGGGTGTTAATGCTGCTGACTGGTTGAAATTATCAGTATTAAAGTAAGTTCATCAACTGGTGGTGATAATGCCAGAGACTAAGAAAGTTTTGGGAAAATACATCTTTAAGACATCAAAGTAGCAACAAGACTCATTCTGCTTCAACTAAATAATACCATGGCCATTATCGGTATTTTCTGAATAAAAAACATTGCTGTAACACTAACAGTCCAGAAAGAATACTCGATGTTTTTGTGGATTTTAAAATATATTTCCGCTATATTAAAAACAATCATTAATTTAATAAAAACACAAAAATTAAAACCAACAAACAACAACAAAAAAACAACAACATTGCAATAAGTTCACAGTAACAATTGCTGGGCGCTAATCGTGGAAGCGCCACATACCAGCCACCAGCAGGCTGCACCTTGCTACAGTAAGCGTGTTAGCACCACTTGCACGAAGCCGGCTATCGTGTTGTGAAATGTTTTGACCGTGCTAAACGTGCATGCGCCTAAAATACAGCTATAAACTACCTTTAAAGCTTATTTTTTTCATCTACAGCTAAATACACACAGCCTGAACAAAATAACTTACCATTTGATGGTGCAATCTCTTGAAACTTGTGAGAAATTGTGGTTTCTGTCATCCGTCTGTCGACCGGCGGATGCACGGGTAGAGAATCCAAGTTCAGTACGATTCTGTCATGTGAGATTAGATCACAGGACTATTTCGCGCCAAATTTATCATGCGATTGTTTTGGAATTTCCTGTGTGGTTTCGGAAGACTTCGAGATTCATTTTTAGACCAAAAAAGGTACTTGACCTAATTTGGCGCTTGCACGGTTAGAGTCGGACACCGACGATATATTTATATATATATATATATATATATATATATATATATATATTATACATTTTAATTTAAAGTATTTGCTTTCCATTGTGTGTGCAAATTAGATGCTATGAACAGCAGACCTCCTTTATTTTGACGAGACAAAGTCGAGTCTAGGTTTCTACATGTATTTTGTTTTCATATATATATTTACTAATCAAATAACACACCTTAGCGTATTGAGTTCAATCAGTCAGTCAGACTTGTTTTATGCCCAATCATCTCCTAATTTCTATAAGACTACTGTTGTCTAAATGTAGATATCGAGAGGCTCCATTAAAATATGAAATCAATACCCAACAACAATAACGATGAATATCTTCTATGTTAAAGAAACACCAAACCATATCAGATGAAGGCAGGGGGGGGGGGGGGGGATAAGAGTTTGAGTCTTTTTTGATATAACTATACTCGGTTTAGATCTAAATCTATTGTTGTAGTCTTCACCTAAGATCCCACAATTTATAATTCCGGTTCACTTAAGATTCCGCTGTTCAACAATAAACCAAACAAAGCAACAACAAATTTTACTACACTAGTCAGCCCTAAGATAAATTATCCCCCTCTGAAGTGTGAAGGGACTAAAAACGCTGCTTTCCCTATCGTACTTTACTGAACAAAAAAACAACCTTAAAAGGTCATCCATGCTCATGCATGGGATCACATCTCCGCTCTAAATCTCGATGCGAGCTACAAGGTTGCTCCATACACAAGGATTTTATGACAAAGGGATCACGCCTGGGTGTGAACTCCTCATCGACGCCTTTGATTTTGCCAAATATCGAACTCGCAATAACAGCCTAGCTACTGCCTCAGCTTACAGACAGCCAAAGCATGATCCGTTAGGTAGAGTCAACAAGGCCGCGTCATACCCATGTCCATCAAATTATCAGGGAGGCATGTAGAAGAATATTATGTCAACATGATTGCCCATCACCATGAACGGCTGATAAGGACAGAGGAACGCAAGGACAAAAGCTAACAAAGACTGTACTATTCCTGAAACAATAATAGTAAGTTTTAATCTCATTCAAAAAGTCCAAACGTGCTGTTATCTCTCTTTTTTTAAAATTTGAAATTATTGTGCCCTCCACTTTGTGACAAACAGGAAACATAATTATTGTGATCAATAATAGGCCTATTTTTGTTTATAGACCAAGACATAATACTGTTAGCAATCATATAAAGCTGGCATCGACCCTCTTTTGAGTTCGCTGTTCCTTACACATAAAGCGAGTTATGGCACACGCCTAGAATCATGCAGTCATATCTTAAATTCAGTTTAAAAAATACATTTTTCACCATTTCTTATCATAATTAAATCTTTTAGCGTCTTTAGGGATTATCTTTATGATTTGGTATGTTTGATAATTTTATGATACTTGGATAAGTTTTCTTCTTATTTTGCCGATTTTCTTAATTTTTAAACTAACTATACAACATAAAACTCTTAAATAATTGAACAGTCCCTAGGCTTTCTCAGTTGCCTAGAACAGTCCGTATCACACACAGAATTAAATTTTTTTTCTCCCTGTCATTCTATCTGTCAACCCGTTAGTAGATCACAATCTCTCTCTCTGTCTTTCTCTTTCTTTTATTTAATTCTCCCCATTCTCCTTCGTCCCTTCCCAAGACCCGCCCCTCCTCTTTCATCCCAGCCCCATCCCCTCTTCCTTGCGTGCATTCCCTCACCCCGCCCACCCCCACAATGTGGTATATTAAAGCTTGCAGGGAGAGAAATGGTCAACACCTGGAGATACGAACAGTCATTGCCTCCATGGGTTTAAGTGGCAATATTAATTTTATATAAATTTACTCTTCACGGCACAGATAAAGACTATACGAAATGGAACAAAATGGTTGATTTTTAAGAAGTTGCCAAGTTATGCTTTTTTTTTTAAACTTGATAATTTTCTAACATAATGATTGATTATTTTTTTTCATACTGACCAAAGTAATGTTTGAATTTGATTTCTTCGAAGTTTAGCTGAAATTGGTTCAAACACGACTGAGTTATGGCCCTTTAAATGGATCTTCTTTTACTTCCAGTACACACATGTAATTTAAAACTAGTTTAAATCTTTCCTAACTTTCAGAGCCGTAATAATTTAAGATATCAATGGAGAGAGAAAGAGAGAGAGAGAGAGAGAGAGAGAGAGAGAGAGAGAGAGAGAGAGAGAGAGGGAGGGGGAGGGGGAGAAGGAGAGGGAGAGGGAGAGGGAAAGAGGGAGAGGGAAAGGAGGGGGAAAGGAGGGGGAGGGGGTTGCTCAGGATCATATCTAACTACCTATTGTACTTATAATTATGTGTGTTGAATTTGAACTGACAATGTTGAATTTGAACTCTCTATTGTTACATTTGATAGCGTTATTCTGATATTTGAGCATCCCCGTGTTACAATTGCTCACTCTATTTTGATGTTTGAACTCTTTATGACTTTATGTTGAATTTAATTTGACTATGTTGAATAAATTTTTTAATGTTTCATTTGAACTTTCTATTTTGGTATTTGATCGGGAAAAGTGTAAAAAGTGTTCTACTGGAAGATCTCTACCTTCAAACATATGCACAGCAGCCTCCGCAGAGTCCCTCATGGCATCCATGAAGATTGGAGGCAGAAACTTGTTTAGCACGATGCGCACCTTGGGACCCACCAGCTTGTCTGAGAGCATCTTAGAGAACAGTTCAGCCGTCTTCTCTCGTACTGTCGGATTGGTCGAGTTACAGAACAGGTCCAGCAGGTACACTAAGCATCCTGAAATAGAACCATGATCTGATCACTAGAGGTATTTGAGTTTATAATGAATTGCAGTTTTTGCATGATGACATTCATCAGAAACGATTAGGTTCATGTTCATTTTTAACATGGCCTGAGCCAAAATCTTTTAGTGATAAGGCAAAAGAAAAAGAGACTATTATTTGGGAGGGAAATAAACCATTCTTATTTGTGCTATAACTGTTGCCTATGACTACAGCAGAAAAAAAAATCAAGGTCAACTATATGTACCATTATAATTAAGAGCTGTCACTGCCATCGTTACATGCACTGCTATTTTCAAATGATTCAAATCCTGTCTACCCCCCGCGAAGCATGGATAAGGATCTATACAGGCGGATCTGCCACTGATGCCGTGAAAAGAGGAGGAGGGGGAGAGTACATACAGTTCCCAAATGGACAACCCCAAGCAGAGGTAGTCCCAACCAGGCTGCATTGTACAAACTACAAGGCAGTGATGAAGGTTCATATACAAGCAGCAGACGTCATCAGGGATGTGGTAGACCCCAAAAGCCAAATAGTATTTTTAACAGATGCCATCTCAGTACTGCAGGCAATCACTGCTGACAAACTCCCAAGGCTGCAAGAAGTAAAGGGGGGCATCCCATGCACAAGGATCAGCTGTAGTGAATCCCATTGCACTATGGTGTCTTACGAAATGAACTGGTGGACAAGATGACCCAACTAGGCCTTATAAATACATGGCAGCACCACAGACACCAGATAGCTGCCATGAGCTGTCCCGTCAAGAACAAATGATTATCTTCAGACTAAGAACACAACACACAAGACAGAGAAAATACATGTGCAGATGTTTTAAACTAGTACAATAGCCAAAATGCCAGTATGGAGAGGCAGACCAAACTGTGGAACATATTCTATTGCACTGCAAGACACACAGGGCCTGAGACAGGAAACGTGGCCAACTTCACTAACACTACAAGAGAAGTAATACAGGCCGACAGATGAACGGCCCAGTATATCATAGATACCAGACTTAAGCAACAGGGTAATTATCAGAAGAGGGGAAAGAAAGAGGAAGACAATTTGCAATAATTTGTTGCTGGCACAAGCCGAAAAGTAGATATGGGAGGTTGAAAGGAGATGAAAATACAATACAGTGTATTGGCCATAGATTCTGATGAGGAAAGAGAAGTCACTTTCACTGTATCTGACCGAATGTCTACACATCAACTGATATCATACATATTACTGCACAGGTATCTAAAATTCATTTTTAAAACAACCACATGATTTGCTGACAAAATCAATAATGTCCCATATTTTGATCAAAGTAGAGTTCTGGGGAACCATTTGCCCCTGAGACAAAACTGTCTACCAAGCCTAGGGCGGTCAGTAGGATCTTTCATAAAAGCAGTTGATGCAACATGTTTCGGGTGATGTCCAGCGGGATTACATCTCACATCCCTGGTCTGCTATTGTGAATTTGTTATTGATAGCCATGCCCCAGCCAGCATAAAAAAGCCTCAAATAATCTTTTACCAATTCTGACGGAAAAAAAGATCAGGTTTGGGAGTGTGCGGACAAGTTTACTAAATGTGTGTTTAAAATATGTGACCCTCCCGCTCTAAATCAGTCATATGAAGGACTGTGTGGACAAGTTTATTACATGTTAGTTTAAAATATGTGACCCTACCATTCAAAATCAGTCATATTAAAGAAATTTCAAAATTGAGTTAACATAATTTCCTAAAACTATCGCCATTTTACTACAATTTGGGAAAACATGAAGTAAATAAGACAATATTTGACAAAAATATGGAATGTTTAAGTATGCAAGGTACGGAAACACAAAAAGGAGATAAAGGGCTCCGAAGTTGAGCAACATGTTTCTATAGCAATGGAGGTCTTAGAATTGATATAGAGACTTGAAATTTGGCAATTATCTTGGCTAGACCACTGCAAGGTAACAAACAGAAGAAGAAAACTATTCATTTACAGAAAAAAAAACTTATGGACAAAATAACATTTCAATAACAATGGACTTCACATAAAATACAACTTGTTAGCATTGAAGGCTACTAGGTATCAGAAACTACATTTTCAAAGCTGTCTGTCAATTTTTTTTGGATCCACCTGAAAGGTCGGTGTCTCCTGAGAATGTTGGTACAATACTTTTATCTCTCAGTCAATTTTTAAGAAAATATCAGCTGTTTTAATTTCAATATAATCAAATATTGTAATATTGGCATACACAAACACACACACACATAGACTGCCTTGATGGCCTCTTGGTAATCTTTAAAAAACCCACAATATAAACGAACTTTTAAAGTCAATCGAAGTGTAAAACTGAAAGATGAACATGTGTGCCATAAGTGAGCGAGCAGCCTACACCTACAGTCAGTTGTTTATGTAAAGAAGCTTGAAGTGGGCTAGGAGTTACCATTTTTACTCCGTCCAATCAGAGCCCTCAGCCGTTCATAGTGACACCAAGTTGTTTACATTTCAGACCATTAATGTTCAGAAAGGGGTCTAAATCTAAAAAGAGGGGTGAATGAAGGATGTTGAAGCAAGGTGGCCATGAGGTAATGATTCTATAAATAATCTCACAGCTACACAACAACAGGTCAAATGTTTGAAATGATTCTGAGGTTCAAATTCTTTTATCTTGAAACCCAAGGTCACAACAAACCACCCACACCTCCAAAATAAATCAAAATAAAATATTTATAGTCCATTATAGTTTGTTATTTTGACCTTAAATAAAGCAGAAGACATTAAACTTTCAATAGATCCAAAAAACAAAAAATTCATGGAAAGTCACTTTTTACTCTTTTAAAGCCTCGTAGGTCCAAATAGTAGGCTATATTGCGTCTTATGACTGACTTTGATCAGGCAGACACATAGGCAATAAAGTGTATGTTTTTTTCTTTTTTTTGCAACCATTTAGATTCATTTTTCATTGATTCATGGAAGTATACAAGTACACCGTATACCACTTAAAATTATTCTGAGGAATAAGCTTGTGAACCATTCCCAATTACAGTTTTAGTTCGACTCTATTTATTTTGTTATGGCTCAATGCATTCATACAACTGCACAATTGTCATTCGTCCATACAGGGTGGTCCAATGGACTCACATATCGACATGTATGTCAGTTGTGTGAATTCATTATTCTATTTTAAGAGGACATGGAAACGCCCTTTAAAGGGAAAAAGAGGGCGATTCTGAATTGATGAGGTCATTTATGCGGTTTCATTGGACTGTTTACAATATGTTAGATGTATTTGTTTCACAAAGTAGTGGAATGAGGCGCTAGTCAATTTTTGGGCAAAAGGACTTATTGGTATCATTCTAAAGCTTGTTCATTTGTCTTGCTTTTCATTTAAAAATACCCATCTATCAAGAATAGAAGTCAAGATTTTTACGCTTGAAGGAGGCAGGGGTTGTCTGGTATTAGAGGTAAAATTAGTGAGAAAATTGCCAAGAGAGTTTGGTGACTTCCACAACTTTAGTGTCCCTGGAAACAACAACTTTACATTTTTTGTACCTTTGACCAACATTTTTCAGGTTAATCCAACCAGAAATATGTTTTTACATGGACATTTAAAGCGTTGAGCCCCCCCCCCCCTCAATAAAAAAGCCAGTTTCTTCTATTTCATTATTTTGACGTATTTCACCACTATGTCACACATTTATCTGTAGCCCATCCCTTAACATAGCATTACAAAAACTGAGCAAAAGAAATATTTACTTTTTCCGGCAACTGTTACCTTGCAAGGTAATGTTGTTCTTGACTAATGCCACTCTGACCTCTTCTATCCATCTTTTTCTGGGCCAGCCCCTTCCTTTGTTTCCGTTGAATTTCTGATAGTATGCTCTTGATGCTATACTGTCTGGTGGTAGTCCCCTGACGGATGCCTAAACCATTTAATTTGTTGTTCATCTAGCCATGTACTTATCTATTTAGGTCTGTCCATTTTTTTCTTCTTTCTTTTGGTTCAAGAATTTTAATATTTACTGCCATCATGCTGGGGCCCGTCACAACTTTACGAGAGCCCCTTTAGCCATATGTTTTACGGAGATCTGGGATACTGAAGCGGCCTTATGGGCAAGCCCACATCATAATTCACCTGATCCTAGCAATCCCTTACTTAGCATGTTATCACCTCCCATAATGTTGACGAGGAACTATGGTTCCGGGGGGAACTACGGGTTTGTAGCAAAAGACACAAAAACTGACCTGCTTCTAAACTCCAGCTTACAGTCCCCAATACTGGGAGATTTATCTGAATCTTGTGCATATGGTACAGGGGGACATTGTTTAAAGGAGACCTGCCTCTTCATAGCCTTTAAAAACATTTCAGAATGGTACACAAAAGTGACAGCCATGCATCTCACCTTTGACCATAGCCTCCTTGACAATCTGTGTATTCGACATAAGGGAAAACAGACTCTCCAGAGTCAGAATACGACCTGGAAATGAAGGGGGGGCGGGAAGAAGGATTAAAAAAAAACCTTTAGAAAACTGTGAAAGCAATTTAGTTCAGAGGATTTAAGTAAAGATGATTTACGTCAGTTAATTTTAGTAAGAGTTTTGTGGGACTCACAACTGCATAAGGTCATGTGAACGGGCGAAAAAAAGTTGGTTCTATTCGCAATAGTTCACTGCACAGCCCGATTCTGGTCAATACCTCTACTAAAATACAAAAAATTTGGTGTAAATAAATTCTTAACTTAAAATAACTTTTTAAATAACATAAAAATTTTTAAACCATGTATTTCACAATTTTCCTTAAGGGCCAATGGCCTTTATAAAATCAAGAATTCTGGTGGGATCAATGACGGAAAACAGATCTTGCAATTTTTTTGCATCTAAAATATTTCCTTCGAGTCTCTCCGAAGTCTAGACATTCTGTTAGAAATTTGTCTAATGCTAAATGTGTTGCTTCCGACACAAAACGGCTTCTCTTCCCCCTGAAGGAGGTACTTGTGTGTCAGGGACGTGTGAGTGATGCATAATTGAGTAAAAATGACTTCGTCTCTTCTGGAGAGGCCTGAAGGTTTTCGCGGACCCAGTTTGGGCTTGATGTTGTGTAATTGATTGTTTTCTGGTTTATTCCAATGAGTCTTCCACAGACTGGAGGTGTAGTTTTTTACTTTATTTTTTAAGTCAGTCTGTGGGAGAGTGTTCGTCGTTGATACCAATAGAATGGACAAGGATTCCTTCGCCAGGAGGTCCACCTGCTCGTTTACACAGATGCCCACATGGCTAGGAAGCCATGAGAACACAATACTTTTCCCGGTTTCAGCCCGAGCGTGTATTTTTTGTTGTAACCTAACTATTTTTGGGTGTAAGAGTGTGTAGTTTATATGTGAGGGGATGCAAGACAGAGTCAGATAGGAAGGAAAGATTTGTTAGGAGAATTTTCTACGGAGTCCAATGCCCTGGTAGAAATATCAACTTCTGAGGTTGTCTATGTGATGTATGTTTTGCACATAGCAAATATTGACAATAATGGCAAAGGCACAATCAGCATAGCTTAACTCATTCGCTATGGCGAGCCGAGGGCAGCGGCACAGCGAAAGTGTCTTCCGTATGCCAAGCCGCTCCCGACGGCTCGAGCACCGATCTATAATTTTAGCTTAGATTTTATTCAAATCTACATATCCATGTTAAAATAAAGGTTGTTATATAACATTGACTTCCGGATCAAACGTTTCCACCGAAAATCGGAAGTTTAGGTTCTGTACTGAAACATCATTTCGTAGTTTTTGCGACTTTGTTAAGCTTTGAATTTTTCTCTCTGCACAGGTATTCAACACCAAAAAGATGAACATCCAATCTAACCTCATTCAAAAACCATTTTTTGAAGAAAAAGCAAAAAGCCTATAAAATTCCTAAAGCATTAATGTACTCACAGGCAGGGACACTTTGTAAGGAGAAGAGAAGATACCCTAAAACCTCTGCTGCTGCAATGTCCTTCACACATTCCTGATTGCCAGTAACACAGTTTATGACCTGTGGAGGAATAATGCGAACAGCTGCATTTAACAGAGATTTCTACAAAATTTCTCAATGCTTAGTTGACACCAAAGGGCAAAGTGATTCACAACACAGCCCAATCAACCATCTGGACAAAGCACTGAGAAAAATATGTACCAGCAGGACAGAGATGAATTCTGTCTCAAGCAGGAATTAATCTGTCATGTCATGTACTTTCAGCGAGACATAATTTAAGATCAGATCAGCTGTCCAAAGTCTTGTTTCAATGTTCACAAAACTATTTTTAAGCACAACTCTAGAGAGTTATATCAAAGACATAATTTCATTGAAGTAGGGGGTTTCATGGAAACATTTTTGAATCAATAATTAGACAAAGATACATGTTACCAGGTAGAGCTAAAAGAGCTGAGAAAAAAGAAAAAAAAACAACATGAAAATTGAATTAAAAAATGCAAGTTTTGAGTTGTGAATAAGGGCATTTTTCGGGGATAATTAATCTATTATCTATTTGTGCTGGCCAAATTTTGTTATTCAAAAGGCTTTTTAATGGCTGCATTGATCGACATGCGGTTTTCGCCAAAATATTCTTTAAAATATTCTCCAGATCATGGCACCCTTCGTTTTTTTCAGTTTCGAGATAGTTTTGCTGCAAAAAGCTAAATTTCTTTATTTCGCCGATCGCTTTTGTAGGCCGACGCTTCTGTCTCTGTAATTTTAGAAAATCCGCTAGGTTTGTTTATTTCAAGTCGTACTTCCGTTCGATACTATCGCGCATTGTCATGCAATACTGAGCACTGTTTTAAGTGTGCGACCCATATAGATCTGGCCTTATGTCTTATTTTTTTACTTGGTGCTAAATTCGACTGTGATCCTTTCGTTTGACGCCCATCATCGCTTTTTCTGGACTCCTTTGTCAAATTCTTTTTCTTGCTACTGGGAACAACATTAATAGATCTTAGATACGAATCTAGATCTAGACTTAGATAACGCCTGACCATGCCGAAAAGAAAACGAAGTTCTGAAGTTGGAACCCCTCGAGCTCGCAAAGGTCGAGGTGGTCTAGATCAACAACAAAATGATGGGGACTCTCTAGATCTAAATCTCCCAAAAGCATTCCTCTACATTGTCAATTCCTTTCAGTACGTGTGCTACATTGGGGAACTGACGACACAGTGTACACACTGCCTGGCCATAAGATTTTCATATAAAACACAAGGTATGTGCTGTAGCAATGGCAAAGTTCATCTGCATCCATTTCCAAAACCACCCCCTGAACTGCAAATCCTTCAGTCTGGTGTGTCGACACTGTCCACTCACTTTCTGGAGAAAATCAGGCTGTACAACAATTGCTTTCAGCTCACATCCATGGGCTATACCGATGCAACCCTCAATGGATGGAATCCACAGTTTCGAGTGCAGGGTCAAGTATAGCATCGTATTGGCTCTCTCCTTCCTGCCACCCAAAATGAGCATTCATTTCTTTAAATTTATTTCATGGAAAGTGATGCAGCCTCAGAGAGATCAGCCATGTTGCATTGCCATAATTCGTATGTCATAATCTGAAATGTGCATATGAATTTGCACGCTCACATTTCGAATAGTCTGTAGAAGTGTCATGCAAAGTTTCGTGGGCCTAGGTTAATTTGTCATTGAGCTAGAATTTTTTAAAACGCTGTCAGAGGAAAGCGAACAAGCTATAGACACTGCCTCCGTGATTTTGAAGACGTCGGTGTGTTCCTTTTACAGTGTATAGCAGCCCTTTCGTGGATTATTATTTTTTTTAGTGCTTTGTGTGATGGTGAAAGGCGAAATCTGTATTTTGTGATTGTGAAGGGCTAGACAGCAATACACTGAAGCAATGTAGATCAAGAAAGGAGTTAATCAAGGAAGACTTAAGGTAAACTAAAGAGATCTAGAAGCCAGGTATGACTGTGAAATGCTAGACAGCAAGGTACATGCAGATGTAAAAAGCCTCTGCGGCGTAGACCAGTAGGAGCAGTGACGCAAAGGCGCCGACCCCGAGCAAAGCCGGGTGCTCAGCTAGTTACTTATATACAGACAAGAGGATGGCATCAAATTGTGGTTTTGAATCTAATTCTATAAGAATGCCTACAGTCTTGAGCAAAAGTATACATTCTTTAGATCAGCAAAAAGTGATGCATCCAATGACAGAGCATACAAGCAAAGATCAGATGGATACAGGGGAAGAGAACCAGCGCCTACGGCTACAGGTTATGTGGAGGAGGATACTGGTGTTTAGACAAATCTTCTGGGGAGGAAACATGCGTATCCGTGTCCGCGGGACTATACGGAAGCAGCTACCAAGCTGAAACTACCACCCTGCTCCGCGCATTGCAATGGCTGGAAAAACAACCACGTTTACAAAGAATCCACATCTTCACAGACTCCAAGTCAGTTGTTCAACACTTAATGTCCGGAGTGACTGCAGTTCGTACTGAGATAGAGGACAAAATGTGGACCACTATCTGCCAATGCTGTGAAATCCACGGACACCTTCACATACAATGGATACCAGGACATTGCGACATCTACGGGAACGACAGAGCTGACGCCTTGGCCAACAAGGGAGGCCGCCTCGACCAGTCCAACACTCCAGTCGATATTGCGTCAGCAAGCTCGTGCATCTCGCGTTACATCATTGCCCACGCATGGGAGAAAGCGCGAGTGCACGACTCCGTCGGGGGAAAGGTGAAGGACCTTACTGTCAGACAGAGAAGAGTGTTATCGCAGCTAAGATGCAGCGCGAAGAGCCCCATCCTGCAGACGTATCTCCATGCAATAGGCTCCGCTCCCAATGATTCCTGTCTGGCGTGTGGCACAAGTCCTGACGACCTGCAGCACGCACTGTATGAGTGCCCACGGGGGGAAGCACATCGAGGCCCACTTATGGAGAACAACGTGAGACCGGGCCCGGATGTACTCTGGACGAGGCCACAAGAGGTTGCCGCTTACCTGTCTGCCTGCGGCAGACTGCCGCCCTCCTAACGGAGGCCAGCCAGAAGAAGAAGAAGAAGAAGAACCAGCGCCTGTGGTGTAGCGGTTAAGACCTTCGCTGTCGCATGGATGAGACCTAATGTTGATTCCCAAGAGGGGAGAAAATTGTTATCTAGTATCTCTATCTTTCTACTGTGAGGTTGTATCTCTCTCAGCCCATGTTGGCCCTAACAGACAGGAAGGGGGTATAAAATCACCTAAATTTAATTAATAAAAAAACAAAACAAACATACACAGGCAAAGAAGCAGCGCAGGAAAGGCATAATAATAACAATAATAAATCTCAGAAGACCAAGATCTCAGAGGAAATGTTTTCAACTGCTGGAGCAGTAGGAGAAACACTAAACAAAACATATATAATATGCAACTATACATAACAATCAAGAGAAAGATGTTTGCTTCTCCGCTCGACACCATCAGTATGAAAGGTAACAGAGGCTGCAAAAGGAAGGCAAAATACATAATAAGTAAACTCCCTACGATACCATGCCTATATGACCAATTACCAGACCAGCAATATTCTCATTCAACAACAATATTCCATTTTTTTCATTTCACAACTGAAGTTCAAAGTAACATGGGCTTCTGAGCCACTGAACTTGGCAAGAGCAACAATAATATATCCTTGTTCTGAGGAGCTCAATACTAATTATTTCACCTTGCCTTACTGCCAGGTGAACTTATCTGATCATCAAGATTTTTTCGATTTCTTTTTAATTCTGCACCCAATGACTGCTGCGTAATGCACACAGAGTCTGGGTAAACGCCTTTTGACCCACCCCAGTCGATAAAGATTTTCTAGTACTTGACCTGCGCTTTCTTCAATTAACCTTTTCCTTCTTGGAATGATACGAATTCACATTTTTTTTATCACGTTGGAGGAAGACCAAAGCCCACCACATTTTTCAATATCCTTTGAAAGTTTCATTTTAGTATTCAAATAATATAAAAATTTTAAAAAGTATCTTTGGCCGTTAATGATAATGTTGGTCACTCTCGTTCTACCAGAACTAGATCTAGTCGTACCATTGACAGCAGTTGTTTGTTTAGGCCCTACATCATCATCATCATGCAGTGCCAGATCTGCAACAGACATGATCATGGTTTTCCATTCATTCCTTTGCTCGGATGCTCTCAAAAAAGCTACGTTTCCCTGATCTTTCCCTGTTCCCTAAGTAGGCCTATGTTGTTCTGGGCCTACCCCTGCCTCGCTTGCCCTCAATTTTGCCAGTGAGAGCTAGATGTTCAAGACCCTTATATATGTCTATTCAGGTGTCCCAAAAACTGCATTTGTCTTTTCCTGATTGTTTTTAAGATTGAGCGTCCCACGTGGGCTTCATCAAGCACTACCTCATTTGATTTCTTTTTCTTCCACAATACTCTTAGCAGTCTCCTAAGAAACCACATTTCTGTTGCTTCTATTTTATTTTCACTGTCTTTAGTGATTGTCCAGCATTCACAGCCATATAGAAGGGTTGACCAAACATAGCATCTCAGGACTTTCATTTTGGTGTTCATTGAGATGTTTCTATTTTTCAGAATTGGGCTCATTTTTATTGAAACTAGCCTTAGCCATTGTAGTTCTCCTTTTTATTTCTGTGGAACATTTGGCGTCAGATGTTATCATATATATCCCAGATATTTAAACTGTTCGACTTGTTTGATCTTTTCACCTTTGCTAATAAGATTACAATTAGGGTTTGCTGCTTTATTGGATATTACCATGCATTCTGTTTTCTTTACATTCAACAATAATCCTTTATGTTCACTTTCTGTTACAACAGTATCTAGAAGCCCTACATCAGTTACATTAAAAATCCAGAGTTACTTGCCCCTGACTTCAGGCTCTGCGGGGGAATTTCTATTTTAACCTTACAAAGTGAACTGGGGTAGTGTAGTACAGTTCGATTTCCTCCTACAAAACTTTAATTACTTTTAACAAAAATGGCATTTCTAGAGAGCTAATTTATGTTTTTTCTATTGGTTAGGGGGTTGTGAAGGCTTGTATGCATCCCTGTAGAATCTCAGGTAGGTGGCAATGCCCAAACATCTTGCCTCAAGAGAACAAAGGTGCAATGTTCACTGTCTTGTTTTCCATCAACCTTCACAGGGATTTCTTAGACAGTAGACAACTGTGGAAGGGGGGGGGGGGGGGGGGTGTAAGCACACTCTAAGTTCTGAGAGATGGGAGCCACAAAGTGCAACCAATGACAAGTGATCATCTGAGCAGTTCAGTTGAGTAAGGGGTCCCATCGAGTAAGGGGTAACGCGTTCCTTCCACAGTGAGTCGTCTGCATCACCAAGCATAGCTTGCGTTAGCCCAATCACCGCCATCTGCTGGTTGTTGTTGAAGAACGTGAGGTTAGATGTGTGTTTGGACGTGTGAATGTGAGAAAGGCGTGTGGTCCAGACGGTGTGCAACCCAAAATCTGAAAATGTGTTCAGCACAACTTAGTTTTATGTACACCTATATTATCAACCAGTCGTTGTTGACACATGCTATTCCCACTATTTGTAAATGTTCTGAAATCGTCCCCCTTCCAAAGAAAGAAAAAATTACTGAAATGAATGACCTGAAGCCAATAGCCTTAACATCGGTAGTTATAAAATGTCTAGAAAAAATTGTGCTAAAAAGACTACGAACGTACATAGAACCCCCCCAGGACCCTCTACAATTTGCATATCGTCACGGGAGAAGTGTGGAAGACGCCATTTTACTATTTCTTGACAACATATATAGACATTTAGACAAGCCTAAAACATACTGTAGGATCCTGTTTGTTGATTTTTCGTCAGCCTTTAATACTATCCAGCCAGCTATCCTTTTAAAGAAATTAGAAAACATAGGTGTTAACGTCAATTTAATATCATGGATAGGCAATTTTCTTACCAACCGAACCCAGTATGTAAAATTAAAACATTCTTCATCGACATACATCACAACAAATACAGGGGCCCCTCAAGTATGTGTTTTGTCACCAGTTTTATTCACACTATACACGAACGATTGCCAAATAAACAACAGTAACATCAAGTTGATAAAATTTGCAGATGATTCAACCATAATTGGGCTAATTCAGGCTGACCATAACGAAACCGCTTACCGGAATTTTGTACTTAATTTTTCTGAATGGTGTGAAAATCATAAGCTGCTTTTAAATGTGAAAAAAACAAAAGAACTTGTCGTTGATTTTAGAATAAAGAAACTGCCCCTGCAGCCACTCAAAATGAAATGTGAAAACATCGAGCAAGTGTCAGACTATAAGTATTTGGGTGTTACAATAGACAACAAACTCAACTGGTGTGTCCACACTTCTCTCCTGCATAAAAAAGTGAACAAAAGACTATTTTTTTTAAGAAAGCTAAAGTATTTTCAAGTTGATAAAACATTGATGTCCATGTTCTACCATTCAACCATAGAAAGTATGATCAATTTTTGTATAACAGCATGGGCCGGGAACACAAGACAACAAGATAAAGAAAAATAAAATCGACTAATACGGAAAGCATGTAAAATTTCAACATCTTCATTACCCTACTTGGATGAATTGTACATAACAGCTTGCACTAAGAAAATTAATTCCATCTTTTTAGACAACAAACACCCCTTGTTCCCTCAAATAAAAACATCAGTCAGAAGTAAAAGACCCATGCTTCTGATCTGTAACAAAGAAAGATACAGAAGGTCATTTTTACCATCATCTATCAAAATGCTTCCATCTTAACCATCTTGTTTAGTGTACTTACGACCTTAGAGCATGCATCAAAATAACATTGAGTGTGTATCTAGCTTACGATTATTATTGTTTATATTGCTGCTCATTTATATTATGCATGTGATTGTAAGCCTACTTGTGTGTGCATGTGTGTGCACGTGTGGGTGTGTTTGTGTTTGTGTGTGTGTGTGTATGTGTGTGTGTGTGTGTGTGTGTGTGTGTGTGTGTGTGTGTGTGTGTGTGTGTACTCGTGGTGGAACACCAAACCAATGTGCCAGGATCTGGACAATAAAGATGTATCTTATCTATCTTATCTCCTGGCTATCTGCTATTAACATTTCCGTTCATGGAGCAGAATAATTCGAGGGGTGGCCAAATCTACTCAGACAGAGGATCGTCACGTCATGGATCAGGGAGCATTTGCCAGGATATCTGTAGGGACGTCATCTGTTTCCAGGCAGCCTATTCCTTACAGCTACAAGGCCTTCTGGGTCAAAAGAGACGTCTCACGAAGAGTCATCTGGCAGTCTGAGGGTACCATGCCCCGTCTATAGAGTTCCCACAAGAGGGAGGGAAGAAGATGTCGACAGTGAATTCCTGAATGAACAGGTTGGCCTGCTGTGACGCCAGACCTACCATAATGGTGGATGTGTACGAACCCTTCTACGAGCCGAAGGGTTGTTGCTCACTTCGCATCTCACAGGGCTATGGTACCTCCTGGCCAGAGCTCCGTCTGCAACTCCTACTCCTATGCAAAGAGCAGGGGTCCCCAGGCTGCTCGACAAGGACGGGGAGTTGACTTGGTAGAAGCTGGCTTGCCAGAGAGCGTCTGGGGTTTCACCATCAACCCTTACAGCCCTAGCTAAATGATATATCTATCAATATAACTTGCCACGGGAGCATTTTCCATCGTTGATCAACAAAAAATTCGGAAGATAAAATATTTATTTTACCATAACTTTTTACAGAAGCGTCGTACAAACTCCTGGTGAGTTGTAAACTCTTCTGCTTCCAATGCTAATACACGTGATTTCTACAGCCACCTACAATGATTAGAGAAGGAAAATTCCAGTCATATTAACCATTCGAAACGTGCTACGTTATTTATTTGTCAAAATTTGCGAGCCACGTGTTGTGGTAGAATGCGTCACGACCCTTGTACTTTTAACTCAAAAGTCTGTAATGTTACGCATTTCTCTCCCCATTGAAACCAAAATGGAAACAAAAAGCACATATGTGGCACGACGAGGTGGAATCAGGCACTCGTCAATTATTGGGCATGTGCAGTTGTTAATATCACCTGAAAGCTTATGCGATTTGCCTCGCTTTCAATGAAAAAAATATCCAACTAGCTTGAATAGAAGTCAAGATATTTGCGATTGAAAAAGGTGGGGTAACCCGGTTTCAGTGGCAACTTCAACAGCTTAAGGGTCTTTGAAAACTGAAAATTACATACTTTGAGCCTTTAAACAAGGGTTTTCTGTAAAATTAACATGGAAATGTGTTTTTATACAAACATAAACGGTGTTAAGCCAAAAAACAAAATTTCGATAAAAATTGCCAAACTCTTTGAAAAATGCATTTTTCTCCAATTTCATTATTTCGACGAGTGCCTGATTTCACCATGATGCCTCACATATAGACCTCTCGTTTCATGTTGGCTTTATGATGCTAGGCCGAGAACTAATAAAGTAATGAGCCGGGAAGCCGAAAAACCGGGATTTTCGCTGAAATCGCCACTCGCTGGGCGAGTGTGAAACCCCGTAACTGAAGGCCCTACTTCAATGTCAATATTTTAAAGACATTTTATTCCTGTCACCACCACTTAACAGAACAGCCTGCAATACTTCACTTAGGTTGTCAGCATTGGTTCTGGAGACTCTTACACAGACTCTTACCTCTAGAGTGAACTGCTGTAATTTGGAGAACTCTTCCATCCTGAGCAGGGCAAAGATCAGCTTGAAGTGACCAATGCACTGAATCTCCACACCTGTGATAGGTAAGAAAAGTCAATCAGAACTACACACCAACTTATTCAAGTTCAGGGGGTTTTTTTGGTGGTTTTTTTTTTTCAAAGTCAGTGTTTTAATGCCCCCACAGACACAATTTTGATTACATGTATATAATCTAAGACTAAGAGGCAGACTTTGACCCTGTCTGTCAGGGCTAACCCAGGGTGACAGGAGTACAATATCCTAGCAGAAAGACTAAGACCTGTCCTCAGAGAAAGTTGCATTTGAAAATAGCAAAAGTTGCAAAAAGTTGCAAGAAAAATTAGCAAAAGTTGCGAGAAAACTTGCAAGACATGTATAGCTAAAACAATGCCACGGAACTATTGGAATACATTGTTGCTATGCTCATTGCAATCAAAAGTAACCAATATATGAGGTTTGTTCGATCAAAATCAGAAGTTAAATGTGAATGTCTACCAAAACAAAAAAACCTTAAAAAAACCCCAACTGCATGAAGGTTGCATGGAGTACAAAAACAGTTTTTCCCCTGACACATGCGTCAGGTCCTTGCTGACGTTGGGCAGGTGTGACCAGCTTGGTTTTGGGGCTGTTCAAATATAATCTTAACACTTTGTTTGGGACTTTTTGACCCCCCCCCCCTCCCTTACACTTTTTTTACACGTTCCTGCCCCCCCCCCCCCCCCCCCAACCCGAAAAAATCCAGAAATTTGCTTATAATAATATGACCTTTATATTGCGCAAATCCGTGTTACAATCACTCCTCTGTGCGCTTTACTTTTAAAATTAATAAAATAAATTTCGGGAAAAAAATTTTAAACCCAGTGGAAATAAATAAATACGGTACAAGCGGAACATTTCCAGAAAAATTTTGGGGGTTTTTTTACCCCCCCCGGGGGAAACCAAATTAAATCGAACCCATTAGTCAGGGAGGCCCCAAGATTCCACCCGGTGGGAAGGGGGAGGGCACATAAACATAAATCCCGGCCGCTCGGGGTTCACTGTATCGCCAAAATACTGTACAAAAATACGTTGTCATAAATTGTATTTCCCTTGATTATTTTTTCACCTTACAAAATTGTAATCTTACATTGGTTCAACCCCCCCCCCCCCTTTTTTTTCTAACACTTTACTTTTTTTTACAGGAGTCAAAGACTACCCCCCCCCCCCCCACACACCTTTTTTTTCCTGGCGTAAGATACATGTATTATTTGAACGTCCCCTTTCGGGGTTTTCTTGAGGAATCGATCCATGTCTAGATCTAACCTCCTAGCCTAAGATTTAAAGTCTTTCACAAATTTTTATACTAGATATATCTACCTGGTGATATGGAACCAAGCGATCTAAGTAAATCAGACGACCGTGTTTACGATAGATTTACTCTCTAGATCTAGATCTAGCTACAAGAATCTAGACTAGAAGATGATTCAGTCCAAACAAGACTATTGGGTCGGTTTGCTCGCCAGATTGATGGCACAAAGCGGCTATCGTGGCCCAAGTCGATGGCGCCCGACTCGTACTCGTTGTTTCAAAACAAACACGTTGTTTTCAGGCGACGAGTCGGGCGATCATCCCGACCAGACCTGACCCGGCCCGCGGGTCACTGGGCGGCGGCGGGCACCCCAAATTTCTGTGATTCTAATAAAATTTGATTATTATTTTCCCAAATTTTGCGGGAAATTGGCTAAAATTTGCGAATTCACAAAAATGGTAAAAGTTTTTTAGGGCAAAAGTTGCGCGCGCAACTTGCGGGTTGCGGGCGCAAATTTCTCTGAGGACAGTAAGATACTTGGCAAAAATTATCCCCACACAGGAATAATCAACTTGTCTCCTGTTCGCTATAGCAAAAAACCTACACCTCAGACACTGGTTTAGTTAAGTAAGAGTTTTATGGCGCTCGCAACTGCATAAGGTCATATGAGCACGCGAAACAAGTTGGTTGCATTCACAACAGTTCACTGCACGGTTTGATTTTGGTCAATATTTCTATCAAAATTAAAATGTTAAAATGGTGAAAATTCGTGGTTAAAAGATCCCTTGTTTTAAAATAATTGAAATTTGAACAACGATATTCACAATTTACCGTAAAGGCCAAAGGCCTTTATAAAATCAAGAATTCTGCTGGGATAAACGACAAAGAACAGATCTTGAAATTTTTCGCATTTAAAATACTTCCCTCGGGTCTTTCTGAAGTCTGGAGATTCTGTAAAGATGTTTCAAATGGTAAAATCTGCATCGTATCCAAAACAGAGCGGTTTCTCTTCTCCCTGAAGGAGGTATTTGTGTGTTAGTGAAGTGTGTTCGATGCGTAATCGGGTAAAAATGACTGTGTCTCTTCTGGAGAGGCTCGAAGGTTTTTGGGGACCCAATTTGGCCATAATGTTGGGGAGTTTGTTCTTAATTTGTTTCTCCCAAAGACTGGAGGTGTAGTTTTTAATTTATTTTTAAAGTGGGTCTGTGGGAAAGCATTTGTCGTTGACTCCAGCAGAAGGGACAATGAATCCTTCGCCAGGAGATCCACCTGCTAGTTTCCTTGGATGCCAACGTGGCTAGGTAGCAATGCGAACATGATGCTTTTCCCGGTTTCAGTCAAAGCATGTATTTTTTTGTTGTAACCAAACTATTTGTCAATGGCCACTGCAAAGAAAATGGAGGTTTCGCGAAGGAGTCTCCCCTGGTGTGCACTGTTAGAAGAGAGGGCAGCGGCGCCTACAGCAGAGTACGATTTAGAGCCACCTGTGAAGATTAGCTCCGCACTTGGGTCTTTTTCTATAAAAGGGTTTTGCATTCTGCTTTAAATGTTTTGGTGTTTGTGCTTGCTTTGTTTTGTGTGGTGAGCTGCAAGTCTACTTTTGCCATGGCAAGGTGCCACGGAGGGAGGTCGGGGAAAAGAAATTGTTCGATGTCTTGTTTGGAAAAGTGTATGTTTTTGAGGTCCTCAAGGACTTTGAGGTCGAAGGGTTTGATGAGTTTTTCGTTGTTTTTGAATGTGTCTATGGTGTCTGGGTGCGTTCTGTAAAGACAGTTGTGAGCTTGGTTCTCTGGGGTTGAGCTCTGTTTAGTTGCTTACTGTAGTGAGAGTTGTGAGGACAAAATAGGGGTTAGCTGGGTCTGGGTGAAGTACAGTGTGACTTCATGTCACAGAGGCGTTAACGCTAGCCGTGAAGGCCGACCCGGGTCACCCGAAACCATGCTGACTTAAGGGGCTCTGGTGAAACCGTGACTGGCCTAGCAAGCCGACGGCAGATAAACCATGTTACGAAACAAACAAAGGAGAACACACGGACTGATGCAAATGGAAAAAGAACAGGAAAAGTAAACGGACAGCGAGCTAGAACAACGATTAAAATAGGCACATGGAATGCAGCGGACTTGAAGACAAAGAACCAGAAATAGTGAATTTCAAGGAAAGAAAGAATATAGCAATCATGGGCTTGTTAAAGATAAGGAAGAGAGGTAACCACAGCAAGCTGATCCAATAAGGCTACCTACTGATCTGGAGCGGAACACCTGAAAATGAGAGAGCCATGGTGCAGCTTTCATCATACATCTAGTCAAAATGGATACAATCTACGAAGCCAACCAGATTTCAGAGAGAATAGTGAGCATTAAACTCATAGAGGGTGGCAAAACAAAAATGTACATCCAAACATACACTCCTTGTAACGACAGCTACGCAGAGGAAGACAGACAATCGTATTCCCAAGACCAGAGTGACCACATTAACACCATCAAGAACAAAGAAGATATATTTATCTAGGGTGATTTAAAAGGCAGAGTTGAACAAAGAAGAACCCCCTGGGTAGAGTACTTGAGACCCCACAGTGATAAAGATACAGACTGCAACAGCAATGGAGAAATGATACTAAACCTATGCGCTGAGCATAACATGATGATAACGAGCACATTTTTCCAACACAGACAAAGCAAAATCAAGACCTGGTACAGATGGAATGACCTGAACCATGCATCACAAATTGATTTCATCCTGACACGCAGAAAACAAAGACATACCGCCAAAGATTCGAGAGCTGTTCCAAACTACATCATCGACACGGACCACAGACCTGTGATACTTACTCTCAGAACCAGCAAGGTAAAGCAAACAAAAAAGAACAGGGGAAAAAACCATGACCAACCTGAGAAAATTGGAAGAAACAGACATCAAGAAGGCAGTCGAGGATAACATTACCAAGGAGTTCAATAAACTGTAACCTGAGACCAAAGACGTAGAAGACGAAAGGCAAACATTCAAAAAATCCCTGTCAGGAATACTGAAAAACAGTTGTGGCACCAAATGAATATGTGGAAACAAAGGCAAAAGAACATGCTGGTGGAATGATGAAACCGAAGAAGAAATTAAAATGAAAAAGAAGATATTCAAGAAATGGCAGAAGTCAAAGACCGAAGAGGACTATATAGAATACAGGAAAGTGAGAAGAGAGACCAAAAGAATCATCAAAACTGCTAAAGAAAAATGCATGGTGAGAAACTGACCAAAATCTGCAAGCAGCATGCGGGTAAGAAAAGATCCATACACCCCGACATGCATTATAAACAATAAAGATGGTAATGCTATTCTCAGCAAGCATGCCATTAAGAAAAGATGGAAAAATTACTTCAAGAACTACTCAACCCAGACGCTTGCCATGGACAACAAGAAGAGTTCCAACCATCATATGGAAAGCATACATAACCACCCATACATCTCAGTGAAATCGATAAGGGAAACTCAAAACCAGCCCCAGAACAAAGCCCCAGGACCACATAACATCTCAGTGGAAGCCATAGCAGCTTGTGGAAACACTGGCGTACGGTGGCTGAGTCGAATTTTTAAAAGAGCCTGGGAGAAAAGGAAATGCCCAGAAAACTGGCAGAAATCCATAGTGCTCCCATTAAGGAAAAAGAAAAGTAACAAACGGGATTGCACAACGTACAGAGGCATTTCTTTATTAAGTCACACAGGGAAAATATAAGCAAAGATAAGACCTGTTGTAGAGAGAAATCTGAGCAAAGCTCA